AAGGGAGAGGAGGAGAGCTAATTGAACCTGAAGCATTTCGAAACGACTATAATAGATTAGCTGAATTGATGTACTAGAGCTTATGTCAACTGACGTTAAGATACAAAACTAAATCAGGACGAAATGACGAAACACAACTTATTAACATCATCTGCTGGAAGTCTGGAACTATCCATCCTACAATGTCTATCTCTAAGATTCCTTGCTTCATTTTGTAACTTCCCTTCTTTCATCTGTTCTCGAGGGTGTCAAAAGACAGAAAAGCACTAATATCTACCAGGAGTCTGTTTTGGTTGTATGCCGCTATGTATTTCCATAGACCAATTAGAGTCTACAGTCCACGAGGCGGATGGATTACAAGTCATCTCCTAACCTCGTTAACCCCCCCCCCCCCCCCCCCCCCACTACTTAGTGGTGTCTGAGCTAGCTCGCGGCACGTCTTGATTATTCCACCAGATACCAGCTACCTCCTACTTCCTACATCCCACCAACACAGGTACCGAATAACTCGGCCCACCAAGGCTCAGGGGAAGAAATCACCTAACTTAGTTTTTCTTTTATCCCTTCTGTTATAGTTTGAATAAACTACCAATTTTCAAGAATTTTCTGAAGACAACAACAATTATATAACTGCCCCACTTGAAAACAGAAAAAAGAATATACCTTTCATAAACTCCTCTTCAGAGTTGCTACTAGACAACCCATTTGTAGAATTAGCTGTTGTTTTATTTTCTGCTCCATAGTCCCACTTACTCTCAACATCCATATCTTCTTCTTCCTCTTCCATTTCATTCTCTTCTTCTTCTTGTTCTTCCTCTTCATCTTCACTATCACTGCCATCATCAGGATCTTCCCAAAAAGAAGCTTTGGTTAAGTTGACTACGTTAGTCCTTTTAGTAAAATTGTGAAAATAACAAATTTTGACTACATTAATTCTTCTGGGAAATCTGAAAGAGATGACATTGGAGCAGCCTAAACTGCAGTTATAAGTAGTTGTAGTTGTGGAAAGCTGTGTGGATAGGGAAGCTGGATTACTCTGCAACACCATTATTTTCTCCATTTTCAATCTTCAGGCTAAATTATACCAGCAAAACGAAGACTCCCATAAACCAAGAATCGTAGATTGTGAAAGAACTTGGATGATTATTCTCTTTGAGGCATTTCGTCGAACAGGTAAGAGGCTTCCGCTGGGCTACTCAGATAGGATTACTTTGTTTCTGGCCTTTTAGGGAGTGAAAAGCAACGCATCAGATAATGGGGAAGTGCACATATAGACATTGAGTATGTTATTTAGAGATTAATCATTACTTATTTTATTTTGAAATATTAAATTAAAAAATTTAACTTAAAGATAATTTAATATATTTTTGTCCCGAAAAATAAAAATTGAAGACTCACGGGTTAATTCTTAAATAGCAGCCTGTAGCGTGGCTGCCTGATGTCATTTCTACTCAGATTATGCGGTCCATTAATGTGGGCCTCTCTAATGTGCATCATCCTTTTGGGCTGTGAAAGCCAGCCCATGTATATTTAAGAGCAATTTTCGTCAAAATTTTACGGTATAGCCAGTTTTTGGATTGGTCAATCAAACATAGCCAGCATTTACCAAGTCAAAATAGCCACCGTTTTGCTGCAATAGAGATCGGTCCAGCATAATATACTGGAGTTCGGTGCACTTGTGTATGAACTCCAACATATTATGCTGGACCGGTATACTTTGCTGGCTCCAGTATAATATACTGGAGACTGTAGCACTGGTGCTCCAAACTCTAGTATATTATACTGGACCATTATACTTGCTGGAACTCCAGTATATTATGCTGGAGTTCTAGTGTATTTATGCTGGAACTCCATCATATTATGCTGGAGTTCCAGCATACTATCTTGGTAGTGTATTCGCGCTGCTGTATTCATGAATACAGCAGCAAAAAGCACCTAAAAATCAGGGCAGTCCAGCTGTACGCCCATGTATTCACATATATTCGCGCCATATACTCATGAATACAATAGCAAAAAGCGCCTGAAATCAGGGCAATCCAGCTGTACGCGCATGTATTCGCACTGCTGTATTCATGAATACAACAGTAAAAAGCGCCTAGAATCAGGGCAGTCCAGCTGTACGCGCATGTATTCACATGTATTCATGAATACAGCAGCAAAAAACGCCTAAAATTAGGGCAGTATAGCTGTACGCGCATGTATTCACATGTATTCGCACTGCTGTATTCATGAATATAGCAGTAAAAAGTGCATAAAATCAGGGCAGTCCAGCTATACGCGCATGTATTCACATGTATTCGCGCCATGTATTCATGAATACAGTAACGACAATCACCTTAAAAATAGGTATGTCCAACTGTCTAAGAGAGATGAAAAACATAAATAGCGTATTTTATGTCTTATTTCATGCCTCAATGGTAGTATATACCATAAATATTTATTTTGCTATAAAATATAAAAGATAGCTATAGAAAATAATATTTTAAAATGATTTTAGTTTATAATAAATAGGGTGTATACCTTTGTTATATGAGATAAAATTTCCTTTATTTAACTCTCAAGGAACAATAAAAGAAGCCCGACGTTAAATTAGAAAGAGTGAATGACAGGAATGGCCTTATAAAGGATTGATCTTTAAATATTGTCGCTGTTTTTGAATGTATTTAAAAAATAACCTTTTGACCTGTGCAATTCTTCAGGGATTTCTCGAATTTATGCTATATTTATTCTAGCTATATTGTTAATTTTTCATAAACTCTATCCAGTTGGCATGATTTTGTACTTGTTCAGTTGTTCACCAAACTCTATAAAATTGGTATAATTTTGTAATATCTGCAATCTATCTGTTAAATTGTTAATTGTTCATGAATGTCTACTTTTTCTGTGTTGTTTCGCGAAATATTTTTTGAATTTGCAATTCCAATTTCGATCAAACCACTCCAAATCTACTCCAAATGCCAACACAAATGATCCTCAATCACCAATTTAATCAAATAACACCAAATCACGAAGACTCGCTATGTCTTCTTCGATACTTTCTAAGAACCAACAATAGAGTTTTGAGATTCTTAAAGTAAATCAGGAAATCAGTGTTTAAACTAAAAGCTTAAGCATAAAAAATCAAATAATCTTGACAGTAATTAACTATTAACTTTGAATTTCTAACCGTCAAAAAGAATTTTAAGCTTCCATAATTGAAAAATTATGATGTTCTTGGTGAAAAAGCAGAGATGGAGAAGAAGGATCTAAAGGGGCAAAGAGACGGAGTCCATTTATTAAATACTTTCAATTACGAGGACATTTAGCTAAGACCAGTCACCAGACTCATTGAAGGACACGCTATGCAATTTTCTGAACTGAAACAATGGCGAGGAAAATCAATCAATTAACTATGCTTCAATCTTAAACTAGTGAAAACAAAATAAAGGTAAAAATAAATAGAAATTATCTTAAATAATTATCCATCCGATCCTTTAAATTAAACATAGCCAACAAATGTGTAATATGTGTATAATCCACCTATAATATTTGTATCTCTTCATCGTGATTTCTTGCATCCCTGCATTAAGAATCAACATAGAATGAATATCAACATTTACAAATATAATTACTCCAGCTTGATATCTTGGCTGTTACTTCACTGAACTTGATTACGAGGGGTAAGGGATAATTAATTCGGGGAGTAAATTTGAGATGAATTTATTTCATATTTGGTTGGGATAAAATCGCAGTATAACTAATCCTGAGATTAGTTATTCCGGGATTGTAGGGTTATTTTTATCCTTATGAGAGGGTGGTATAACAATCTATGAACTTGAAACAAATGTGAGGAAAATTAATCAATCAACTATGTTTTGATCTCAAACTAGTGAAAACAAAATGAATTTAAAAATAAATAGAAAAAATTAACTTAAATAATAGTTCATCCAATCGCTTAAACTAAAAAGTCAATAAATATATAATATATGTATAATCCATCTATAATATTTGTATCTCTTCATCTTGATTATTTGTATCCTTGCATTAAGAATCAACAACGAATATCAACATATACAAATATGATTACTCCAAATAAGGTAAATGTGTTGAAAATGTTGATTTTTAATATCTTGGTAGTTACTCCAGCTTCATATTTTGTTGGCATAATTTTTCTGTCAGATGCATGCTATGAATAGTACAAGTCATGATCAAGAACTCTTCTTGAAAATGTGCGTACTAATAAGGCTTCCTTGCACTTGGTTTTGTACAATAATAAGAGACCACCAAAGGATGCGGTGCAATGGATGACGCTGCTCTTTCCTTAAGCAATGGTCTCAGATTCGAGCCCTGGGTATGAAAAAAATTTTGGTAGGAGTGCATCCCCCCCGAATGGGGTCCTATGCGGCACGTCTCCGAATATAATCGGGTTCCAATGCAGGTATCGCACACCGAATAGGAAACCAAAAAAAAGTGTAAGAGAACCGCTGGACCAAATTTGTCACGCCCGGAACCTGGGCCTGGACGTAACACGGCACTCGGTGCCTGACTACATGTGACCTAGCGAACCAATTGGCTGGCTGAATCAACATGTGATATCATAACATACTGAATGCGGAAGATAAACTAACACATGCTGACATACTGAAAGTCTGGATGTTATAAATCAAAGTGCGGAAATACTAATATAATTCTGAAACATATTTGTAGCCAACATTGCTTAACATGAAAACCCTAAGACTCTGTCTAAACTGAAAACACTGACTGTCTGAAAATACTGAAGACTGTAGTAATGATAATTCCCCGAAAGAACTGGGGATCACCAAATAGTTGGTACGAGAATCCTAGCGCTCTGAATCATCAACTTGTAAATCATTACCTGCATCGCGAGATGCAGGCCCGGGCAAAAAGGTACGTCAGTACATTTGAATTGCACCGGTATGTAAAGCAACTGAAAGAAAGAATTGTAAATGCTGAAACTGAAACTGAGCTGATAACTGAGAATTGATAATTGATACTGAAATGATAACTATTGGAACAGAAACTGAAACGATAACTGATAGCTGATAACTGATAACTAAAGTAATAATTAATAACTGATAACTGATAACTGAAATGATAACTGAACCGATAACTGATAATTGATAACTGGAAACTGAAATGATAACTGATAACTGATAACTGAACTAAACAAAGGAAGTAAGGATATGAATACTCCCTCTTCTGAATGATGAACCACCTGTTTATCTGAATAATAAGTTGCGGCCTCAGGCCCAATATATATGTGCACAAACTGCGGCCTCGGGCCCAAGTATACGTATACAAACTGCGACCTCAGGTCCAAAATGCATAAAGCATAAACTGCGGCCTCAGGCCCAAGGATGCATAAAGCATAAACTGCCGCCTCAGGGCCAAAGATGCATAAAACATAAACTGCGGCCTCAGGCCCAAATACAGGTGTTCAACATTCAGGAACTGAGAATCAAACTGTAATACATGATAATGAAATACTGAATCACACTGAGTTACATGATACTTGAATACTGGATCACACTGAGTTACATAATACTGGAATACTGGATCACACTGAGTTACATGATACTGGAATACTGAATGGGACTAGACTGAGACATGTATTCTTGAACTAATTATGAACACTGAAACTTCAACTGTTTATGGCATACTGAGTAATCTATACTAAGACTCGGGGGCATCAAACCCAAGTCTATATTGAATACGCACTGAGCTCACAACGTTCAGAATGAAAGTGGTGAACGGGTTATGAAGCTAGAGAATAGAAGTTCTACAACTATTCAAGAAACTAGGCTTAACTATACTTCTGAGGCAATTAGTAATGTCGTAAAAGAAACGTAGTGTAGGGAGAATTATTAACATTCCCAAACATAGAGAGTTAGCCTCACATACCTTAACTTCCTGCTCTTGAGCATAATACAACATTCGCCAACCCTTTCACCTTTAATCTATATCAATACAAGTCAAAGGGATTCCAAATTAGCAACAATAGTCATGTTTTGGTCACTTAGGCATTTATCAAACACTCGGTGGCATAAAGCTTCATAGCCCTTATTAATGGTGTCTCTACACCCAATAACCCATTCTCTTGCTCCTAGATAAATTCTAAAGTCTCAAATGGTTGTAATCAACATTATTCTTTATCACCCATAAGGTAATCAACACCCATAACCAATAATAACCAATCAACAACCCAAACGTATCACTGTTCATGCTTTTCTATCAAACCCATCAACTCATATCTCTTGAACTAGAGCCTATAATCATTAATTCAATGAT